GGAGAGACTGAGGGCGAGGGAGGTCTCCAGAAATCCTCGAACTCGGACACCCTGTCACAGACGCTGCCCTCGCAGCTGGGCACTGACTCGGAGGTGCCATCGGCAGCCTCGGTAAGGTGGGATTCCGGGGAGAAGCGCCCTTGGGAAGTCTCCGGATCGGGCGGGGCAGTGCGGCACGGTTCCGTGTCCTCGGGGATCTTGCTGTCTGCAGGGCAAAGGGGGCGAGGGGGCTCATCAGTGCGGGTCCATGGTGGGAGCCAGCCACCTCCTGCGGCGGTCCCGCTCCCACCAAGGTTTGATGTCGGACGCTCTAAAACCCCGCATCAGCCCCTCCGGCGTCCCGCGGGGGCTGGACAGCGACCGGCCGGTGCCGTGAGCAGCGGGGTGATGCGGGGCAGTGGGGCTGTGACCGAGCGAGGCTGCGACCGAGGGACTCCTACCTGCACAGATCTGAGCCAGCACCGTCTCCAGCCGCAGGCTGTAGTCCTCGTCGGCGGAGCGGGGCTGGTGGTAGCTGTGCGCTTTCTTGCTCTTCACTAGGAAGGACCTCGGCATGGTGGGGTACTGCCACGGCCGTCACGGCCGCACTCCCTCTCCAGGCGCCGGGCGCGGCGGCGAACGTCACCCCCGAGTCTCCTGCGGGGCGGCGGCGAAGAGGCGACCTGCGGGGAGGCGGCGATCCCGCCGGTGAGGGCCGGGGGCGCCGGCCGGGAGGGGCCGTTCGTCGGGGGCGGTGCGCCAGGTGGCAGCGCGCAGGTGGCTCCGGCCGCCGCCCCCGGCCCCGCTCGCCTCGCCCCCCCTTCCCTGAGCGCAACTAACTCAGCCTCCCACCGCCCCCAGCCAACGCCTTTCCACCTTCCACACGGGGGCCTTGGGGCCGCCCCGGCCACGCTCCGGCAGCCTGTCGGTCGCAGCCAGAGCGCGGGGAACAGGCAACAGCAGTAGCCGGGCACCGTTCGTTGGACGAGGGGGGCTGAGGGAGCTGGGGGTCGCGGTCGGGTGCAGCCCCGTCCCTCCGCGGGAGCGCGTCCGCAGTCGGCTCTCCGGGCGCACCGAGCCTCCGTGCTGGTCCCCAAGCCGGCGCCGCGGCAGAAGGGGCGCCAACAAATCTCTCTTCCTCAGAAATTGCTTATCAGTCCCCGCCACCCTGAACGGGCTGGTCAGCGCGGGGTTGCTAACGGGGCGGGCGGCAGAGTCGTTACAAACTCGGTAGCGTAAACCTGGCGCTTGAGGGGCTGTTCCTGTCGGAGGGACTGATTCACTCATCCCGCGCGAACCACGACAACGCGAAAACGAACAAAACGGAATCTTTCCTGAAGCCCGCAGCTGTCGGCGCCGCGACACCTTGCAGCTGCGGGCACCGAAAGCCGGGGCGGGGAGAGGAGACGAGGTGGGAAACCTCCTGGGGGACCCTGCGGGGAGTCGAGGGGGGCCAGGGACCGGGTTAACGAGAGCTGCCCCGACCTGGCTCCTGGGAGTAAGACAGGAGAGGTTCACTGGAACTCGTCCAGTACGTGCCGCCTCTGCCATTACACTTGACACTTTGCAAATAACGAATTTAATCCACGTTCGTTGGGTTCTTTAGGGGGATCGCTTCACTTTTTTTCCCCCTCTCCCGTTAGCGGCCTCAGGTTTGCGAACGGGGAAAAGAGGGAAGGGGCCCAACCCGTTGGCGGGGCGCAGGAGCTGCCCCGCAGGTGCCCTCCCCGGCTGTGCCGCGAAGCACCGGTTCGTCCGCGCCCGGCGGGGGCCGGGTCGCTCCGCGCCGCCGGGGAGGCGCCGCCCACGGGCACGGGGCCGGGTGCCCGGGTGGGAGCGTTGCTGCCCAGACCCACCTGCGCCTGGGTTCATCCTTGAGCGGAGGCTGGCAGCGAGGGGGCCCGCGCGGAGCAGGGCGAGAAATCAAAGCGGTCTCGATAACGCGTCGGTCCCCCGACAGCAGCGCCCGCCGCAGCCGTTGGGGGCTCCGGGCGCCGGCGCCGCTTCTGCCGCCTGTTTTCGTCCCCGGCGCAGCACTTTTCCCTCCAAAAGCCACGCCGCGGAGGCGCCGCCGGCCTCCCAAGGCCGGAGCCGGCCAGGCAAGGACTGGGCCCGTGGGAAGGCGAGTTCCGCAGCCCACCTGTCGGCCGCTCCGCCGCGGGCACCCGCCCCCGCTTTCCCCCGCTCCCGCTGGCCCGACGGCCGTGCCCGCTCGGTGGCCGCCACTGCGGGGCCAGAGCGGCGCGGGGACCAGGCCGAGAGGAGAGGGGGCTCGCCCGCCGGCGGCTGCCCATGCGAGGGGAGAGAAACGAGAGCGCTTACCCATTTGGAGGGGCGAAGGAAGCTGGGCTGCCAACGGGGTACGCACGGCAGCCTGATAGTTTGGGTGACTTTAAACTTAGCCTCCCTTTAAGGAGCAATGGTGCTTGAGTTGGCTTTTTTTTTCTCTTCTCTCTCTCTCGACTCCTTCAGAGCTCGGCCCCCTAAACCACAAATTCCACTTCCTGAGCGTTAGTTAGGAGCTTCTGCAAAAAAAAAAAAAAAAAAAACCTTTTTAAAAAAGCCAGAACTTCACAAATCAGTACTGTTCCCGTCCTCTCTTTCTCTCTCAGTTTTCCTTAAATGAAAATGTCTTACCGTATTCCACCTCACATAGGGCTCGCTAAAGTGACATCGAAGTGTCATTCTGGAATCGGGCCTTTCATTTCTCTCGGGGTTCTGCTCCAGAAATTACACAAATCTATCTGAACTATTCTTGGATCCCCCTTCGACTTCCGCAACGAGAACAAGTCACAGATTCAAAACACAGATTGACTCTGGCGGGCAGAGGCAGAGGGCAGGAGACGGGGCAGCCGGTGCCCGCCCTGCCGAGCCCGCTCCGCGCCACATCCCTGCCCCCGGCCCGGCAGCGGGGGCCGCACCTCCCGCCGCCATCGGGACGTGCGTGGCGCTGTAATCGGGGCTAAGGCCGGGCCTTGGGCGACGGAGACCTCTCCTACACTAGAAATAACTTGTTGTGGAAAACTCTTTTGGGATAAATACGCCCAACGGCGCTGAAAATACCTTAAGACCCAAGCCTAGAGGTTTGCTCATTTCCCTTCGGATTTAGGTAATGGTTAAATATGGAAGGGGTAGGCGAGATCCCCACACCCCACTTCCCCCTCCCCCCCGCTACTGTTTGCTTGACAGCGATTCAAACGCGCAGGAGGGAAGCGATTGCCGTCCTCCCCTGCGTGCCCGTGCTTAGGTGCTGACTCGGGGAGGATCCGTGGGGCAGGCACGGGCGGCAAAGAGAAAAAGGCTCGCCTTGCTTTACACACTCACACACGACCTCAAAACATAGTTTTCCAGGTCTAGCCTCGGATTCCTAATGCAGCCAGGAAATCCAGCTCGGGTCTCCGGTATCTTTATGAGGTGGTTCTGGGCTTCGCTATCAGACATCTCGGGTCACCAGCATCGTTTCGATGGCTGTAGGGCCCCTCAAAATGCGGCTCTGCAGTGAGCCAATCGAGGTTTAACACCATTTTCCGTTCAGAAACGACTGAGACTGAAGTCGGACATGACAGAAGCAAGCTTCAGCCTCTCTCACGCCCTGGAGCATGCTGGCTTTGCGAGCAGATGTTTTTTTACGCCACCACCCCCAAAGCATTCACAGAAACGTTAGTCACTTGATGTCACTGAGCCCCTGTGGAACATAGGATTAACCTGACTTCCCAAAATCTAACTAAGCAAGCAAACACCACCACGAGAAAAACTGTCCAACCTTTTGCTGATGGTTTAGTGTGACACAAAAGGAAGCTGAAGAACACGACTGACACATCGCCCTTAACACCTTCATTATTGCCGGAAAGTTCCTGGTGCTGGGCACAGCAGTTTTACTTACGGCAGCTGTGTACCGCGGTCTCCTTGCTGCGCCTTTGGTTGATTACTCTGAAAATCATTCACGCCTTCAGCTTCTAAAATCAATGCTCGAGTCAGTAGAAATAACCAGATTAGAACAACTCGGTCTAATTTCGTGTATGCGTCTTCGTTGACTCACTGTGACTTTTTGAGAAACAGTCTTTCTCGTTTGCTTCTGAAATGGGATGATAAACTCATACCCTTATGAATACCTTGCTACACGGCGCTTTGGTTGGATGTAATGAAAGCAAGAGAAAAAATTAAATTAGTATTAGCGCTCATAAATAATTGTGACCTGGTTACAAGAAAATACATATTCGTCTTTATATATGTCAATTCAAAATGTATACAGGTGCTGCAGCACGCAGTAAGGCGCGGTGATCTCCGTGCGTAGGGCGCTCGCAGCCATCCGAGATGCGGGATGCGCGGTGCGTGATGCGCTGCCGGGCGCCGAGCGGCTCTTCTCGGGGCTGTCCTGCGGGAGGCACTGCGCCCAGCCTCTTCTGTTCGGCCCACCTGCGGACGGCCCTTCCTCACCTTCTGCTCCCTAATCGAGTTAAATCCTTCAGCAGAAATAAAGAAATCAACGAGTGAACCAAGCGAATACTTCACATACAGCAATATAATCTCTCGTGTGAGGGTGGGTGCTTCAGGGGCACCGGGAACAGACATCTGGCTCTGGGGCGTCAGTTTTCTCAAACGATTAGAGGGGAAATGGTACGAAACCGGCAGTGTTTCGTGATTTGCAAAACCAGTTCGTGCCTGGAATGGACTCTGCCTTCCCGGAATCTCGGCTGGACGGACCATTTGTTTCACGCCGCCGGTGGGGAGGGGGAAGCGGAACGCGGGCGCTGCGCACCGAGCGGTGCCGGGGATGACCCGGGGCTGCCAGCGGGGCCTCAGGCAGTTTCAGCTCTGTCACCGGGAGGTGTGCGGGCACACACCGGCACACCCACACCCGCACACCCCGCGGGTACCGGTGTTACCGGGGCCGGGCGCGCGGCCGCCTCGTGCGCGCGGGCCGCTGTGCCACGTGCCCGCGGGCGGCGGCGCCAGGCGGGAGGCGGCCCCGCGCGCTCAGCCCTGAGGGGAGCCCTGAGGGGAGCCCTGAGGGGAGCCCTGAGGGGAGCCCTGAGGGGAGCCCTCAGCGCTGCCTCCGCCGCGCGGGGAGCCGCACACAGCCATCGGCCCAGGGCTGACCCCAGGCCGAGAGGAGCTGCTATCTGCAGTAACAGCACGCTGAACAGAGGTGAAGGGGCTCGGCTCTTATTCTTGGTTTACTGTGTGACGTGTGTGCTGCAGCTCAGTAACCTTTGAGGTGGTCTTGCCTGTGCGGTGGCCATGCAAGAGCTCTGTGACAATGCCAAGTGTTCTGTGTCCCAGGGTGGAAAAAGCCAAAACCCAGGCCCTGAGTTGGCGGAGGGCTGTAATTCATGGGCAGTGTAGGGCTGGGTTTTAACGGAGCTGCTCTAATGTTTCCCCCAAAGGGAGTGTGGTATTCCAAGTTAAACGTAGAAATTTGATAAGATACAGTTGGATGCAATGGTAAGTATATGATTGCTAGCCCTTGGTGTCAAAAGAAGGGAAGAAATAAACAAGAGGAGGGATTTAAAGTAGGGTGGGATTGTATTATAGTCGTGCTTAAAACTGAAGTGTAATTCACTGCACTGTTCACAGCAGCTGCCTGGTGTCACTCAGAGCTAAGATAACATCAGATAAGGCGCCAAACGTGACGGGCTGCAGGTGAGATCTTCGATCAGAAGTGATGAGATACTTTGCAACAGGAATCTGAAGACCAGGATTTGACAGGTTAGCTGCTTGGTACACAGGGGAGAAGTAGTTTCTTGTGAAGGCAGCAAAGAGGGTGATACTGGGGGGAATTCGTGCATACTTTAAAGTGATAAAACTTGGGAGCACAGTTATGCAGAACAGTTTCACTATGAGAAGCTGCTAGAACTTGTAGCAATATGCATTCTGTTGGGAAGTGTGTCTTTTTTAAAATTTTTTTTTAAACATTTTTAACGTGTTGCTTATTCTTTTTTCTTCCACCATCTTGTTCACTGCCTTCTTTATGGTTCTCCTTGTGGCATTAACACGTGATGTAACACGTGAGAAATTAATCAGTGATTTTGATTGGTTTTTCCAGCAATCAAAAAAAGTAACTTCTGCTGCTCTCTGAACAGATTAGAAAAGTAATGATCCCTGTAAGCACAAACTGGGGAGGGAAAGTGACAGTATGCTCTGGTGTTGAGAGCTGGGATGAAAAGAACATAGACTACGCGAAATGGTCTCATAGGAATTTTAGTTCTCGTAGTGGGACAGTAGAAGTTTCAGTCACTTGGGCAGTAGTATACAATTCTAAGAGTATGCCACACTGCTTTTGTTTTTCCTAATTGTGAAATAAGGTATTAGTTCCTGGAAAGGGAGAGCGTTAAGCTGTTGTATCTTAGATCTAGCGGTTGAATCTTAGTAGTCAGTCAGTGCCTGAGCATGCGTAGGTATACATATGTAACATGTTTTCTCCACTCTGAAGCTGAAACTCCATGCTATATAGAGATTATGTTGGAAGTCAATTTACTGTGTACTTCCTGTTATTCAGAATTTCTGGTTCTAAAGCCTACTGCGGAAATGTATTTCACCGATTTTTCTTATGTCTTGGACTGGTTTGTTAAAAACAAAACAAAACAAAACCCCCCAAAAAAACAAAAACAAAACCCAAACAAACAAAACCCAAAAAACCAACCAAACAAAACAAAAAACCCAACTCCAAACCAAAAAATTCCATCACCAACCAAAATCCTCAGAGAATTACAGAAAATATGCTGATGTAATTACAACGATAGAAGTATTTCACAGAACAAAAATGTACTTAATTGAATCCAGAAATCTGTTAGTTATACATAGCTTTTCTCTCAATACACAGAATTAGTAGCTGGTGCATGATTGAACATAACACCGTAGTTTCCACATAGATTGTACAAACCTCTGTCTTACAGGTTGATTTTTTTTAGTCTTCAGGACTAGCCTAATGGCTTTCCTAGGGGACTCGCATTATCCTCTATCTTCCCCCCAAATGAGTTACATTATTTGGAGCCTGAACACGTAAGAGAATAGCAGTACATCCCATATAAAATGTGGGTATTTTTATGCTAACATATCTCTAGGTCATTCTAGCTTAAAAAAGAAATGTATGAGTATCAAGTTTCACTAAGTCACTAACACAGTCTCTGATATAGAACAGTGATTACATTAAATACCCCAGAAAAACACACAATTCTTTCTGTGTTGCAGTTCTAAAAAAGGATTGAGTACTGATCAAGATCAATAGTACAGAATTTACAAAGTGGTTTTGTTAAATGTATGCAAACTCCTACGTGATTGCTTCTTTTAATCACTTTCATAGCAATTTATTTAATACAGGAAATTGCAGATACAGTTGAAAATTGAATTTAGTGGACAATAGTACTTTGTGGATGTGTATGTAGATGAGGTCTGCTTTTTGTAAAAAAAAAAAAGTGACCAATGATAATAAAGAGTTCTTGAGCTGTGAATGTAATACATGCTTCTTATCTTCACAGATGTACTTTCTCCCAAATAGTCATGTTCCAAATTTTTCACAAAGGTTACAAAGCTTCTAACATATGAAATGACTTAAGTAAGAAGAGGTCTAACCATAAATGCTATTAGTACCTAAAATACTCGTAAGAAAATGCAAATTAATTAGTGAAGGCATTTGATTATCAGATTAGGGAAATCAGAACCATTTTCACTACATAAAATTGTAATTTACAATTACATAAAATGTAATTTACACATAAACCCCATATATAGCAGGGCATCCCCCTTCTCTATTTCACCTCTCTTCTCAGCTGCAGCACTTACATATTCAAGAATCTTGAGTTTTCATGTTTATGTGCTTTTTTTAACCTTATGATTTTAGTGTTAGCATTGAGCTTTTCCAGCCTGCATTGTAAAGCAAATCTAAGCAATCAGCAATGTTTGTTAGAAGGTCATGGTATGTAGCATAATTAATGTTTTATTTATTGACAAATATATTGTTATGCTGTAAATGACTTGACAATATTATCATGCATATTCAAATTATAATACACATAACAAAGAAATTAGTGTCTTTTTTTGCCAGAAGAGTTGCAGAAAAAGCAGGATGATGCTGAGCAGCCTGTCTTGCGCTGTCTTTGTAGGGTAGTCTGTGTGTAGCCAAGTCTTCTGAAACTGCAGCATGTCCAGTGACTCATTTTTATCACTAGATGTAGCTGGTCGACTTCTATATTTCCCTTAATGTTTTTATTTATGCTGTATCAGTATCAGTATTTATTCTATTTAGAACTTCTATACAAAAGTTCAGGAAATAACTCTTGCCAACTAATCTCATTTGCTATCACTTGAACATTAAGGCAGTTATTGCAAAATCATAACACTTAACTGTTCAAACAGAGAGGATTTTTATGGCTCTTCAACTGATTTTTGTGCCTGCCACTTATTACAGAAGATTACCTTTAAGAGAGGCTTGCAGCTGGTATTGATGACAGGCAACAAGACATTTGTCACCTATCCTCTTGGGCAACAATGATCCAGGTGCAAACTTAAGTTAGCAGATGCTCATTGGAAGCAAAAAGACAGTTGTTACTCATTTGTGAACAAAAGTGCTCCTAATTTGGTTTTGCACACATAAAATTTTCAGCAGGGATAAGGATCAGTCAGCTAATCCACCTCAGAGGTGGCAATTCCCACAGGCTGCACTGGGAACAACATAATCAGTGGTAGGATGTGGGGAAATTTTGCAGAAATACTGAAGCAAGTTAGGAGCAGCAGACATCAGTAATTTGGAATTTGTCACCTACCTGTTTTAAGATGTAAATTAGATGCACCTGGGCAGATGCTACAGTTGAGAGGCCCAGAATGTGCTACTTCCATGAAGCCTTCTCTATCATTCTTTGAAAGTTTGTTAATCTCCTCACTCGTGCTGTTTCTTTCTGAAAACACATTGCAAATAAAGGGAAAGGAAACGCCTCACGGGCCTGGCAGATGCACTCAGCAGTGTGCTTCCACACTTCTGCAGTTTTAAACAACTACACTGCTGCTTGTGAGTAGCAAGACAGTTAACATACGTGCAGCCTATCAGTACCAACTTGTGCATTGCTTTTTTTTATTAATAGAACAGTTGCAAATATTGCTAAAAGAAGTCTTAAGGATTGCTTAATTACATAACATGGCAATAATGGAATATTAAGAATATTCTTGACTAGAATGTGTCTGAGAAGGCAAGTAAGTGTTCATATGACAACAGGAGAATATGTTGTTCTGTTCAAGAAGGTAAAGCCATTTTACTGGATCTCAGTTGTCAGGAGACTGAAAGCAGAATGCTCAGCTCATCTCTCACTGCTTTGCTCAATCACAGCTATTTGGTGACAGCACCAATAGCTCACTTCCTACATAGGTCTGCAATATAAACTGTAAGAGGACTGAACTTACATATTTTACACTGCCTTGACCATGTTTTCATTAGAACTGAATAATTTTTCACCTTATTTGAACCCATCTAGAGGCCACAAGTGACTATATGGTAACCAAGGACTGTAGCTTGGAAGTGACTAAACAGTAAATGCTGCATCCTTGTTAAATCATGAAAAATTTATTTTCATTACATATACATGAAGGTAAAAGATTTCAGTCAATAGTGTTTTGAACAAGCATTTCTGACATGAGCTTGTTAGTGTAGCTAGGCTGAAACTGAATGTAAAGTTAGTGTTTTGCCTTTATTTAGTAATTCACTTCTAGTGTGTATATACAGAATTCATTTTCCTGTTAGAATACCAGAGACAGTAATATTGCAACATTTACATTCCTCATATAAAATGGTGTAATGTACATTTTCAGCTTGGTGTAGATATATAAATATGTACAAAATAAACATTATTGTAATTAATATATTTCAGACCAGTTATTATTTAGCAACATCAAAAGCAGATGCACATAGATTTAAGTGAAAATGGTGAAAACACCTTTATGACATTAGTGACCATTATTGGCATATATGAAGTACTACAGATAAAGGCTTCTCTTTCAAGCCTTCTGTGGGCATCCAATAACTTCAGTAAAAAAACAAAAGTAATTGAGAAGCATAAGGTAATTTTATATATATGTGTCATGATCAGATGGTTTACTAGGGTCCATCTTGATCACAAAAGGATAACAATGTAAAACATACACTTTTGTTCAGAGCATAAAATATTGCACGAAAGCAATTTCTTTTGAGGAAAATAATTCCCGTGTTTGTGAACAGCAAAAATGGTTCTTATGCACTTAAGAAATAATATATTTGCATTTTCTAAACCAAAGAACATTCAGTAATACTGTCAGAACTGTCATCCATCAGCTTCTTCCCAGCCTGTTTTATGGCAATGGTATGTCATTAGCAAGATTTGGCAAAGAGAGAAGGCAGACAAACAGTACATCCATATTCTTATCACAGGCCAGACCAGATCCAATAGTTGCCTAAGTTAACTGCTGGATGGTTTCAATTTCAGCCTTAAAGAAATAGGAAAGTCTTCAGTGCTCGTCACAGTGATAATCACACAGTAGTAGAGTAAGATTCCGTTCTCCTCTGCTTAGAAACCATCTTGTCTGAATTCCCAGTCTGAAGGGCACTTTCCTCAGTATCACTGTCACTGCTGTCTACAAGTGTGTGATCCAAAGCCATCTGACCAGTCCTTCTGGGTAGATGAAAGTTCACCCCACTCTCCTGTATGGAGTTAGTTATAAAATCTTCATCAGAAGAATGAAATGATTCATCATCTCCTGTGAAATGGTTGACAATGTGAATCCCATCAAAAGTGGGTTGGTCTGAGAAGTCTCTCTGGCCTTTTAGACATTTGATCTGTTCAAAAAAGTGGAAATTAACAGTTAATCAGAGCTCAAGAGTCCAGTAGTAAAAAAAACCCAAACAACCAAAACCAAACCAAACCAAACAACCAAACACATTTTCAAGAAATGTATCATTGAACTCTTAGTGGATAAAATTAAATGCTAGATCTGGAAGTAGCATGTTTGATTACCACTTCAAGTACTACAGTTTTAAGGCTTAATAATGAAGGTATCTAGAATCAGTAATGACAGATTCCTCTATTTACTGCATCTTTAATATCCCCACAAGGATGGTTTCTACTTTCTAGAATGGCCTATTTGTTTTGACAGGACTTTTGGCCTTAACATCTGCTTTTACAGGTCCATTCTCTCCTGTATCACCTGACTTCTCACTTGAGAAATCCCTTCCCCTATTCCAAAGAGCAGGGTCTCAAGTGAATATTGCCGGTTTCACACAGCCACAGAAGAAAATCCTAGAGAACATGTTTAGTTCTGTCTACACTGCAAGATTGTCTTAACTATCTAATTCAGATCCAATGAGATTTCAGATCAAGCAGTATGAGAGAAACATCTCTTCGTACAGCATAAATAGATTGTAGTTGCAATTTTAAGAGATCATCAAACAAGACAAAAATGACTGTCAGACCATAGACAGATAACATTTTAATTCAATGCACTGTGGAGTGATACACTATTAAAACCACGCATGCAAGCTATTCAAAACTAAAACCGAAAAAGTGCTGGAGTCTCCTGTTAATTTAATGAAAAATAACTCACGGACGACATTCCAGAGGTGGGTTGGTTTTGTGGTGTTTGTTTTATAATTTCACTTTTATTAGCTTTTAGTAGCAACTGTCCCTCAGGGTCAGTTTAACAGTATAAGACTATTAAGATAAAAAATCCTGAGGATGCAGAAGAACATTAAAAATGGATTACAGAACCTCCCTAATGTTACTCCGAAAGCTTAAAACAGAAGATGCACCAAGTGCTACTTTGTAATCTACTTTTCATAGTAAGAGACCTGGAGAATAGAAAGAATAAAATGCCTGAAGAGTTTCTTTACAGAAATCTATTTGAAGTTTCAGAAATCTGAAGTAATATTCACTTTAATAATTAACAAGTGCATGTATGTCCTCAGTATTGAACACCAGTGGGAGATTTTTATCTGTCCATTTGGGGAAGAAAGAATCTCTGTACTTACCATGGGCTTGTGTAGA